GTTGTGTCGGGAAGGTGAGCATCATAGAATGCCAATTTAATAAAAGAAAGTATTCTTGCATTGAGGGAGTACTTGAGTGGAGGGATTTGGGCGAATGTTTACAGAGCAAATTAGCATTCCATTCAACAATTCACATGCCTTTTGTTTCCTGACATTGATTGCAATGCCCACATTGTAATAGCATTTTTTCTACTTCCTTTTTAAATTTTAAATTCTTATTCTTCTTTCTTTTGTATTCCTTACTGTGTTCTGAGTGCTATCTCTGGGCACAAGCTATCCAGGGTCTCATGATTATTTTACATTTTCTTGATGCCACCGTTCACTTTCTGTTGTTCAGTGCCATCGTGTTGGCTCCCACGTGTAGCGACCATATAAAACAGAATCACACAGCAGGCAGTCCCGCATCAGCCTCATAATCTTTACTGTTTGAGCCCATGGTTACAGCTATGTTGTGCCAATTCATCTTGTTGAGGGTCTTTGTCCAAGCATGACGTCCTTGTCCAGCATGGTTTACGATCAGGGAAGGTGTGTCAGGGTTGTTTCCTCTCACCATACTTGCTCAATCTCAGCCCTGCTTGGTGTCCACATGGAGAGAGAGAGAGGCTGTATCTCTTCATGGAAACAGAAAGCCTCAGCTTTCTCCCACAAAGAGGCTCCTCGATTTGAACCTCTAGCCTTGCAGCTAACAGCCCTCTACATCACCAGAGCTCTTAATAAAGCCCAGAACATAGGAGTTGGCCAGTGTGGTGCCTAGGCTGTATGGGTTGGGTGTGGGTACCAAGGACTGACACAGATATTGTGGATGCAGAGCATGTACTTGTACCATGTGTATGCATGTATGAATGCATGTGTATTCTCTGTATTTCCGTGGACACATGTCGGGGCATGGGTATGTGTGGACATGATACAATCTATGCACACGTGCCGAGTGTGTTTGTGATGTGTGTGGTTTGGAGCATGGGTGGGTTTCTGTGCTGTGTCAATACCGGGGATGTGTGTTCACACACCCGCACTTGGCGTCCAGAGTGCACCAGGTGCAGGGAAACTTCCTTCTCTCTGCAGACTCCCAGCATGGCCAAGATCCATGTTCCATGGCCCACCAAGGGCCCCGTGGAGGTGCTCCTGACCCACAGCACCAAAGTGGCCCATGTGCTGAGGGAGCTCTCAGCGCCCCTCAGCCCCAAATCACAGGGCCAGGAGGGCAGCGAGGGCACCCACAGCCGCCTCCCTTGGTAAGTGGCACCTCCTGGGGCTGGCGTCTATCCCTGCAGGATGTGGGGTGGGGGCCTAGGGAAAAGTGAGCCCTCAGAGCTAAGAGCCACCAAGGAGGGGGGCTGCACTCACTACTGGCCAAGCCTTTGACCTCTCCCTTTCTGGGGTGGTCAGACTAAGACAGACTAGAAAGAAGGCCTGGTGTTCCACTTCTGAAAAAGACATTGGCCAGTGGAAACGTCCAAAGTCAAACAGCATCCACAGTCTGGACTCTACATCTGCCCCTCACAGCAGGTTCCCCTCTGTCCCACTCACTCCACTGCCTCACACACACCTGCATCCAGTGCCCTGCAGGCGACGGGGCGTGTTCCTCGTGGGGTGCCCTCCAGCTGCCCCTTCCCCGCTGCTGGCGCTGGGTCCTTGAGTCTGTTCTGCCGAGGACCTAAGCCCAGGGAGCAGCCGGTTTCCTGTGAGCTGCTGTTGACCTCACTGCCCCAGAACCAGGAGCTATCATTGTTCTCTGTGTGTCCCGCAGCAGCAAGCCCAGGCAGTCAGCTGACATCTGCCTCTATGAAGTTGGAGGGAATATCAGTAAGTGCCCTCTGGGAATGGGGTCCAGGGCATGTCCCAGGAGCTTGCTAGCTTCCCGAGGGGAGGCAGGAGCCCACCTCGAGATGACCCTACCTCCACTGAGACCTGCAAACTCAGGCGCAGCCCTGCATGGAGGGGAAAGATCCTTGAGCTTCCAACCTGGTAGGGAGTCTTTTCTGGAGCTGACCTTGAGATAGGGCAGTCTGACTAGGAGACAGGGGCATTCTGTCTGTCTGTCTGCCCGTCTGTGTCTCACTGTGTTTGTTGTGTGCCATCAAGCCAATCCCAGCTCCTGGCAACCCCCCAGGACAGAAGAGAACTGTCCTCAGCATCTCCCAGACTGGCAGGGCTTTTCTCTCAAAGAGCAGCTGGGGGGGTTCAGACCACCCACCTAGCGCTTACCCACTGTGCCACCAGGGTGCTATCTGTGCGTATACATGCAGAGGTACACGTAGACATATACTTTGTGTGTCTCAGTACCACCAAGTAGACCACCCTAGCTGAGGTGGACCTCCTCCCGCCATTGAGTCAGGGGCTCCTTAAGAATTGGCTCTGTCC